AAGGCAGAAGAAGAGGTTCTTTCCACTAATCTCAAGAGAACAACACTTGAGTCAAGTAAATAATTTACACAAGTTGATTTGAATTGGGAACAAGTTCAATAATCTAACCCTGAAGACAGATTTTTCTTCTTGTTTTGAGGAAAAAACAAGAAGTCAACCCTAAAAAATAAACCAAAGGACTTGCTATGCTGTAAATTGTGCACAGTGGAAGTGATCATCAAATGCACTCTAGTTTGGCTAGAAGCACATTTATCTACAGGCCTTTGAAAGCCAGTTGAGCTCATCCATTCAAAACTATATAACATGTCTTCTCAGTTATTACAGAGCATTTTATCATTACAATAACTTGGTAATTATTGCGCTTTAGATGTGCTGGTAGATGGATATTTTTAACCTTTGGACAGAGCCAGGCTATCTGCTTACCAGGGTTTACAATCGTTATGCTAAGCTAAGCAAACCAGACAATTATAATAGTAGCATTTTCACATCAAAGTCTCGGGAAGAAAGTGATTTGACTTATTTCCCAAAATAATCAACTATTGCTTTAAGCACATCTACTTTTGATGATAGTTTTTTTAACGCAAGTCACTTGATTGTAATGTTTTGGGTACTATTACAGATGTTTCTGGTACAAGTGGAATTCTCTCACCCTACTGACCTATTTTGTCTCTTGCTGTAAGAAAAATGGATTCTAGTCCCACAATAGACATTTGTGCATGTCGGCAGGACTGCAGAGGTTATTTCTAGCTTGTCCGTAAAACAATACTTTGTGCATGTGTACACCTGGGGCTCAGTCGGGGAGAGAACCTCCTTTCTGCTGCCCTTGTCCCAAGGCCAGTCAGCTGTGGCTGTGCTCTGTTCTCTGATTCAGGTAGAGGCCCAACAGGGAGTCTTCTGCAGAGGAGGCCAGCGTGGCGAGGTCTGAGGCTCTGAGATGAGTGAGCCAGGAGGGAAATGGGGGTCATGGGGGTGGGCCTCTGTGCTTTACGAGCACAAGCCCCTGCACGTCCTTGCTTACCTCCGCTCTGCCTGTCTGGTAGATAAATGATGATAGAGCAGAAATATACGGCAGGCTGGCTAATATATGTTAGCCTGTCTGCCAGTATAGTACAACAGTCTCTCAATGTGTGGTCCCTGACACAACTGTCAACTGAAGAAAAAGCAGAGGAGGAGGAGGAGGAGGAGGAGGAGGAGGAGGAGGAGGAAACCTCACAGCTGGAGCCAGTATGAGATGTGTGAGGACGGCGGGGCAGAGGAGAGCCACACTTACAAATACGAGTAAGTCAACATTGTTGGACGCTGGACAACTCTGATAAGAACTGAGTTACAAAAATAAACACAGTGGCTGTACAGCACTGCGAATCTCTATCTCATTAGATGATAAGTGGAAACACACATCCTCACTGTGAGCCGAGACTATTTTTCTCATCCGCAGATTGAATCATCTGCTGTTAAGCTTTAGCAACACATTCCATTACAGGCGGTCCTCTGAAATGAGAGGTTAGCTTTGCTTTCAACAATGCCAGGGGTAATGATCTAACTGATCTAATCACAAGGCACGCTCACGCAACCCACCTGTTTTGTCAGCTTTGCTCTCACATAAAGCGCAGTGTTGCCAAGCGCTCACAGTCGGGGCGGGTGGCACATGTTGGGGTGGCAGTAATGAGTTACCCAGATCCCTATATAGTCCCAGCTATATCTTGGTCTGATTCTGCTCTCTCATCTGCTGCCAAGAACAAAAAAAAAAGTGTCTCGAGCCTGGCCTGGACAGATCCACTCAATGCTGCACCTGAGAGCTTTTACAGGGGCCAGATAAGATGCAACCCGTGTTCCACCCCCACCACCACCGAGGCCAACCAACACCGGCCACCATCCAAAACATTTAGTTTTTCAACGACTCACATTTTCCAGTCGCCTGATCTTCCTTCCCAGTTTTTTTTTTTGTTTAAAGTTGCAAGCAGCCAGGCAAGAAATCAGGCAGGCCGCCAGCAGATGTGGCAGGCCCTTGTGTGCAGAACTGCAGCACTTAGAAAGGATGTGCTTCACCAGTGAAGAATTTAGTGAGCTCTTCCTCCAACAGAACAGGACTTACTGGTCTCATTAATGGCAAATCACACTAATTCTCTCTGTCATAGCTTGAACATTATAGCCTGCTGTGGCAGCTGCAAGACATGATATTGTCATGGCTGTGTCAGCGGCCTAGCTGCGCTGCACTGCACACAGGCTCAAATTTTTACGATGCACAAAAGGAATTTATTATATTGAGGATAACTTTATTGCTTATATAAGGTCCAGTTCAGATACAATAAAGCTAAAGCGTTTCTAATGGGTTTCTGGGAGGCTGGGATGCATAATGCTGCCCTTCATAACATGTATTGCGAGCCATGCCTATTATATACAAACATTCTGGTTGTTTGTACATAATCTTCAGGTCAATAATTACCATTTCAATATATATGTCTTGGCAATTTTATCAGTAACATCATTGTGCAATGTGTTTACTAGCTCATCAGCGTTCACACCGTTGCATTTCATCTTCCAGTCGCCTCTGCTCTCAGAAACCATGATGTTTTATATTGCATTTTATTACATCTGTCTGTCTGTCTTCCAACAGCCTTCCAAATATAGTCCGGCTTCCCCCCCCCCCCCCAGAAAAGAGCTGAACGCTAAGTCCTTACTAGTTAGAGCCTCGTCCTCAGTCTGGGGCTGTAAGAGCAGGTTTATGGGCTGCATGCAGGGCAGCACTGCCTTTTCTGTTGCAGCGAGCAGGCCCAAACATCAGCCTGAGGCTCTGAGGAAGTTAATACTGGTGGCTGCTGCCTGGCACCAATAATGATGCTAACTGTTTCTCTCTTTTCTTCATCGAGTCTAAACAAAGTCTCTTTGCAAGATACTTGCACGAGTGTCCTACTTCAATAAGCATTTAAGGAACATATTATCCATACATGAATAATGCAAAAACCCATGCATGTCTGAGTGTCTATGTGCACTGCTTCCATCATCCACACCTGTCTACTCTTGGAAAAGGCACAATGTCAGGCTAACTCTAACTCACTGAGTCTTGAGAATGTGAATCAGCTGTGATTTTATTCCGACTGCTTGCCTCTCATAGGGTAAATAATAACCGGCATGTGTTTACGAAGGAAGCTCCGCGCCGATTTTCCGCCCTCGCCGGGCCCTGGTTTTTCATTTCTCCTTGGAAGTGATGGAATTTCTAAAAAAAGCTATCTCCACCGGTTTATTCAATAATATATGACGCGACAGCATCATCCTGACACCCTACACCTTTCAGTCTCAGGTCTAGCCATTAGCCCAGTCATGAGTGGAAGAGGTGGAGAGACAGGCAAAATGGAGCAACTGATGAATAATTTAAAGTGAATCTACTAGTATGAAAGAATTCTCCCTGTCAGTCCTTCAGCTTTGCTCAGCCACTCTCAGTGTGTAGAGCAGTGTGGACTGGAGAGAAGACACGCGTGTACCTCTGTGATACGCTTTAAATAGCCTCCTGACTTCACGTTTCCAGTTGAAGCTTTGCGGCACAACAGGGAGTCTGAGGATGATCCCTTCTTTCTGCTTGCTCCTCTGCTGGCTGGCTCTTCCTCTACAAGGTAAAAGATCATTGTACTTTAGCTTTCCTTAACAACGAAGATGTTGAGTTTGAGACAAGTTGAGGCGAGTTCCTCTTTCTTACAAACTGCTGCCATTATTATGTCAAATTGCTAAGCGCAGCCAGAGGGAGGGAAACAAAATTTGATCCATCAAATAGGCCAGAGGCCGATAAACTGAGAGTGCATTTAATTATGTGTTGCTCATCCTCCGGAGCTGACGCAGTCCATTCCCAACGAACTGTGAGGTCTTGCAAAAGTTTTCTGAAGACGCTCACTAATAAACATTTGCCAATACTGAGCTTGCTGGGGCTGTTTTTGTCATTGTGTGGAAAACAACACAAGAGCTGTTCTCTCCTTACAGTGATAGTAACTGACTCCGGCTGTCTTGTGTTACAGGTCTGGAGATACTCGACCCAGAGGAAGTGGAATACATTCGCTCCAACGCCACAGCGACAGTGGGAGGCTCAGTCACCTTGGACTGTGGTTCCACGATGCCCACCATCTTCATCTGGGGCTTCACCAAACCAGGAACTGATAACAATGTAGCAGTGGCTTACAACTACGGGCAAGGCCCAAAGCTCCAGTCTCAGTCCAGCCGCTTAGGTCACATGCAGGTGCCCGTCAACACCTCTGCTTTAGTCATAGAGGAGCTTCAGAGAGATGCAGAGGGGATGTACACCTGTCAGGCTTTGTATGATACAGACAACGGGGCCAAGATAACTTTCTACTTCACCCGGCTGGATGTGGAGGATGACTGATAATAACTCTCTGTTCACATCAGTCGCATCATTTCAGAAGTATTGTCTAATAATGTCTAAGATCAATGTCTACTTTTAAGCTTCATGACCACGGTGTCTATCTTCAAATCTTCTGCTTTAAAATTCAGGTTCATCCAAATTCCCCAAAACATATTCTCAAACTTATCTCTCGTGGCATCTAATCATGCAGCCATGGTCTTATTTGCCCAGGATTTGAAATATCTGTCTGCCCCCCCACCACAATCCAATGGATGTGAATGGAATTTCACCAGTGGAAATGTACATCAAAATTTGCTTTGATTTGGTGTCAGCAGTGTGCTAGAATCAAGGAGTAATAATGACAACAATGGAGACCGCTACAGACGACATTGACATTACTATTGAGGCTGTTTTAAATTGAATAAAAGTACCGAACAACACTCTGCTTCGATTTCTGGAAACATTAATGATATGCCTCTGTTGTACTGCTACAAGATACTAAGTTGAGACTTTGGCACAGCGTTTTGGGCTGCTGAATACTAGTTTTGAATTTGATATGACCCCCTCGGTTAAGAAATTTATTTTACATATACGGCATGTCTTCTCAATATTGGCCTACATAGTACACTAGTTCTGTTTAGTTTTTTTACTTTGTCTGTGAACCCGCTGTTTCTTGTGCTTTTAGAAAATATTCTTGCGAAACGCAAAATACTTGGGAGTACCACCTCAATGTGTCTTTAGAAAAAAAGTTCTGGTTGCTCTGTATAATCCACAGACCTCGCAGTCTGCAATTTCACCAGTAGTACTTTCTATCTACGAAGTAGTCAATAAAACAACAATCACACTGTGTTCTGTCGATTATGATTTTTAATTATGCAAGCATCGCAACTAGAATTCTACTCACTTTCATTGTATTAAGATTGAGGCAGAAATCTCAGAAACTCAAAACCTGGGCAAATAAACCCAAAACTACCTGCAAAAATACCGAAAATAATGAAGTGAAAAAATATGCTTTTTGTCATTTGGATGAACAGACTGTTTAGCACCGGACTGGAGTGTAATACACACTGAAACACTTTGATCAATGATAGCTATTGTCTCCTGCAGTCTTGGTGGCCATATAAACTTACAAAGCGTGACACCATGTAGACCTGAGGTTGTGGTTTCCATTTCAAAAACCGAACCAGTCTTGTATTGTGCTCGTTATTGAACCCATCTGGATAGCAGGTTCATTAGACAAGACTATTTTCCGTTTATTTTTCTTGAAATACATTGGTCATTACCGTTTCTGCTATATTCCAATTACCACCCCGCTGTGTTGTTTTTTTTTTCTTTAAGTGCATTAGACTGTGCCACTGTGCCACTTTCAGCAGAGCGAGAGGCTGTGAGACATCCAGAGCAGACTGACACATCTCATCATTTTAAAGCATATTGCTCAAGGCTGCAAACTGTCATTCCAGAATCATTTCTGGGGGACATTTAAGCTCCTTTAAACCGTCAGATATCTTGACAGAAATCCTTAAACATAAAACAAATGTTCTCGCAAATAATTCATCCTTATAAATAAGCACATCATTACTCAGTTCTGTGCACAGTTATTCTAGAGTGCTTGGTGAATAAAAATTACTACACCGCTGACTTCTTTTTCAGCGAGTGTGTTTCTCTGAATTTCTCCTGATGCGTGAATACCATTCATTTCATTTTGAAAGTTGGCTCAGGTGAACAGGTCCAACCTGCTTGTCAGCAATAGGCTCATCATTGAGCCAAAACAGTATGATTACACATTGAGAATTCTGTTGACAGGGAGAACATGGGGGCAGATAAATAGATGCAGCTGGGATAAAGAAGAGACAGTGTTTCCCTGATTATATCGGACAGGTGCAGTCTGCAAATGTTGCAGTTACACCAGCACGAGTGCGTCATCTTCATGGATCAAGACTTGAGTCTGATAACAAAATAAATAGCGGATATGGCGGTAACATATAGATCATTAGTTGTATGCTGCATAATGAGCTCATCACTTGCAGAGATCCTTTGGAATGCTGTTGGAGTTCATCCAACCACAACATGCTTCACTTGAGGTTTGTGACATCTCAAGGATAAAACCGCCCGGGGCTGAATAAAGCAACTTAACAACACACTGCCCGATTCATAGGAATTGCATTCATTCAGGGAGTGCTGGAGAGAGGAGAGAGAGGAAGAATGGTGGGTGGAGGGGAGAGGGACTGGCGTTAACAGGTTGGCTCTGCAGCAAGGGGCAGAAAATTCCAGGGCAGACAATGAGCTTTCTTGTTCCCATGGGCTCCTTAATGAAGGGTTGTAGCTGCGTGGGTAGAGGGTGCAGGGCAGGGCTGAGGCAGAGTGCCGACTGATAGACGTGGGAGATGGAGGAGCAGCTCATTTAGAGACAACCCAGCCCTTATCTTCTCCTCATCAGCCCAGCCTGCATCTGTCAGCATCCCCTGTCCCTCCCCGGACCATTTCTCTTTCCTTTCCAGCTTCATTTCCTTCCCATTGTTTAGTTCCTTTTTTTCTTCCTAATGGCAGCAAGAGAATCAGAACGGACTCTCGATTGAGCTGCTGCATGGAAGTAAAATAAAAGAAGAATGGAAACTTAAAGAGACTGGGTAGAGAATGGCCAGTTCTTCCCATCATTCTGGGTCGTGAGTCACTTTTAGTTTTAGATCCATACCTCAAAAAACAAAATCAAATCAGTGCACAAGTGAAACACGTTACGGTTTCAAGGCTGAAGTACTTAGGCAGACTATTCCTGGGAAAGAACCGAGTTTAAGTCAAGTCAAGTGAACGAATGCCGACAGTCTCCATCGAGGCTAAAAATAACAGCCGGAAGAGGCTATGCCACGCCTCAGCAGCAGGCGAATAAATTCGGCTGCCAGGAATATTCCGTGTACCATCAGGGGGGAGGAGAGATGCCAGGCGAGCCAGGGCCTGGGGACTGGCAGCCAACTCTGGCACAAACACAGGCAGACAGGCACCAAGCATGGAAAGCCTGCACCGCAGTCATCCTCAGTGAAGCAGGGCCAGCCCCGTCATCTGCCCGCTGCAAGCCTATCAACTCCAATCAGCCAACACATCATGGAGATTATTTTAAAACCAATGGAGGGTTTAAGCCTTCAGAAAAATGGGTTTGGCCAAGACAGGCTGAAACATGAGAAGATTATATTACAACTTGTTTTATGAATGAGTTATCTGCTGTATTTCCACACATCAAGGAGCATCACACAGCACGACTTTTTGAGTAATTCTGACGACAGAATTACTCAACTGAACTCAGCTTCCGTCTGTTCCTAATATACCACTGCTCATTTTGTTCTTTACAGCCAGATATTAAAGCTACATCAGACAACTTTGCATTTTAGCAGCTCCAACTGGCAGTTCAACCTTCAGTTCCCAGAAATCATGGAATGTAACGTCATTAAACTGGGACAGATGGCCAGACTTCCGAATTTGTGCTTACTTAAACGGCCAGTGCACCCAAATCACAATGTATTTTGTCACTTAGACCCTGCAGATGATCTTTGATTCGTATGTTAGTTTGAGTTTGGGTGATTTAGCCTTTTGTCTTTTCATAAACAACTTCCCTTAATTACTGCAACTCCTTTGTCGACACAATGAAATGACGCAATCTGCATTGTCAGGGTTAAGTGAAAAAACATGGTCACACTGATGAGAAAAGATAAAGTTTTCTCTGGATGGAGCATTTGCTGCTATCTTTGTCACAGTTTGTGTTTAGATTTAGATTTAGTCTTTTTCTGTGGTTGGTACCTGATACCAGAATCTCACCTGGTCAGATAAACTTCACCTGTCACCACAAAATTAAAAAGGATGGGAAGTATTCTATTACTGGCAGCAGAGGAGTTTTAACATACTCAGATTTGCGTGAGAGGGCTGCTCACACTTAGCAATTCTATTTTAATGCAACTTCCCCACTTCTGTAACAGATTGGGTCCACTAGGTCAACAGTACTCACGAAGCAACAGTGCATTTTGCGATAAGTGATGAGCTATCAAGTATTCACTGAAGCAAAGAGCAGCAGCCCTTAATCTGAACAGTGAAGGGAGTGTTCACCCCATTCAGGGGTCACTGCAGTGGGACAGCCCATCAGAGAGCCACTTCAAAGGCCTGCCAGAAATATCGATGGGTTTGGAGTGAGGCCGGGAATTTTACTACAGCAATCATTCATTGGGCGTCGCGCACATGAAGGAGGGGAGGGAAAGACATTGAAAACAGTTTGTCGTTTACTCTTCCATATCTTCTCTTTATATTATCACAAAACTTTACACGGACAATTGCCAATCTCCACACTTGAGTGGAACACAGAGGGACAAAACAACAACAAAAAATAAAAAGTATTTCTCATCCAAAAGGCATAAATAATATAAAAGACAAACTTCTTTTACTTTAAAACAGATACATTCATATGAAATAATATTTCACTACTACAAAAAATAAATAAGTCTTTGAAGTTTTTGATCTTATGAGAGTCTTCCACCCAGTGGGATATCATTTCTGTCTTTGAGCAACTTTTCCTTTGCTCTTTGCATTTCCCTCCATCTGGCCTTGCTCTCAGTCTCTTGTAGTTGCTCTCTTTTCACACTTTGTTCATCTCAGCTCAGTCCATAGAACGTTTAGTGTCCCTGTCACTGTAACATGCAGTGTCTCTGACTCGCCCATCGCTGGTCCTCTGTGACATTCCCACCACTGTCTCTCGTCCAGTCTTCTCTGTGTGGTTTCTCTAAGCCCTCCACGCTGCAGGAGAGTGCGTTTGTGTGTGGCCTGTGTTCAGACCTCCTGTGGGCTGGGCTGGATCAGCTCGCCTGCGAGGCTGCTGCTTGAGATCCACCCAGGCTTTTCGTCACAGTCCAAGTCTGGCAGGCCAAGACTCTCCCAGCACACCACAGGCCCCTCCATGTCCATGCACTCCAGCTCCTCCTCAGCTGCACAGAGACAGAGACAGAGAGAGAGACAGAGACAGAGACAGAGACAGAGACAGAGACAGAGACAGAGAGAGAGAGAGAGAGAGAGACTTTGGTTTTTACTTCATATTAAAAAAGACAAGAACAGATTCTGGAGAGGCCCACAGTATAATTTGTGGTAATGCTGCATAGTTTGTCTGCATACAACATGAGGATTGGTAATGACACAAAAAACTATGAGTAAAGCATGAAGAACAACTGTCAGTGCAATTTTATAAAAGTGTTGAACCATGAACATCTACGTGTTTCTCTGAATTTGTTTTTTAGCTGTAGCGTAAACTAAAAAAACAACATAAAACGTAAATGTATTAGAATCGTCATATGTGACCTTTGTCCTCTGCATTTCCTTTAACTGTCTTAGCTTAAAGTTACAATAAGCCATGGGGTTGATAAAAAGCAAATCCCTACAGGTTAATGTAAAAGCGATTAGTCACTTTGATCAAAATTGTCTTCATTTATGTTTATCATGAAATACTCCACTGGCCACAGGCCACCATTAAGACACTGCTACCATCCAAACACTAAAAGGTGTTCTTGCAATGAAAATGTTTGGCATTATTTATTTTTTAAAAGCATTATTGAAGTGTTACTATAACCTTTTTCTTCTGTGATCATATTCCTTTATTATACTAAAAACTTTTACTGCTGACAATAAAAAAAGGCTATTTGTGCCAAGTTGGTCATATTTTATAGCCGAATATAACTAATTTGTGTTTTGATTCAAAGATTATCCAAAAAGTACCTGCAATTACAGAAATAAACAGGAAGTGAGAAGTTGTAGTTCTCTGTGTCTGTAGTGAAAAAACACCAAAAGACAATAGGAAGAAAAAGACAAAAGTGTCGGAGGAAAAAAGACTAAATACTAGGAAAGATTTTGTGAGCATTTGGTATAAAAATGTGGCTCACCAGTATTGTCTGCTATACAGTTTTCATTGTTCCCGACCAGACAGCAGGAATGCTGTGAGGGCGAGGACTCCCTGTGCTCGTCTTGCTGGCACCCTGCGTCCGCTCCCTGGTCACCAGTGTGCATGTGGCTGTCGGGGCCGTAGCACTGCGACGACACCTGGCCCAGAGGCACCATCTCCAGACCGTCCTGCTGGCATGGCGCCACGCGATGCATTACAGGCAGAGTGCCATTGGTCTTGTTGTAACATCTGCTCAGAGACAGAGAGAGATGGAAAGAAAAGTGGGACATGTGTTTATAACGGTGCCCGTGCATTGCTGAGTGCTCACCCACGGACAACTCTCAGCTTATTTTGCTTCACACACCGCTCTGGTTCTTCCTCTCTGCAGATATCTGTAGATTTTCCGCCAGACACAGAAACTCCTTGCCTTAATACCCCAAACAGTGTACAAAACAATGACAGCTCTTAACACAACGGGAGCACTGTCACACAGCTGCAAAAAAAAGTGTTTTCAACAGTCCAACCAGAGGCAACCAGTCTCACTGCCTCTAAATAACTGGGACACATTGTGGTTTTGCCCTCCGGTGAAGTTCGCAAACCCAGAGAGTTGCACGCAGCCAGCTTCACCATGTTTCGCTGAACTCAGCTTCCCTCTATCGGCACACGATTGGATTGTGACCACACCCCCTCTTTTCCCAGCAGCCGGAGGTAAATAAACACAGGGCTCATTAGGTCTGCTGGCTGGGTGCACACAGGGTAAACTGTGATGGTGGGGACCCTTAAGTACATAAACAGGACAAGCAGGAGGGGAAATGTGTGTGGGTGTGTGTGTGTGTTAGCGCTCTTTTACTTAGCGGCATTTTATGAAATATGAGTGTTGAGCGTTTGCTTGCGATATCCATAAGGCTCATCTTCTTCAATTTCAGTTTTTCAAGGTGCTCTTGTGACAGCTATGAAAGTTTTAATTAAATCATTTTAAATAATCGAGCTGTGGATTATATAAGTAAAAAATTATAAATGATTTAACTACAGAGTGTCCTTGGGCTGTCTTGCAAATTTTCCACAGATCCCATTCTGGGTTTTTGTATTGTTGATTTATTTTCTGATTAATAAACACCAATAAATTCCCAGATTTCTTGAAAAAATAAAACCCGGAAATATATTGTCCCAGATATCCACACAGAGCAAAACATATCACACACTCCTAAATTAAATTCTCTTACCTATTGTTGTTGCAGAGGTTCTGACAGCTCATACAATCAGACGACTCTGTTTGGGGAAGAGCTGTGTACATGCCTCCACCCTGACGAGAGAGCACAAACACCACATTTAGCCAAACCAAACTGCATCTGCAGCTGCTGCTGTAAAATACCTGGTCATTTAAAACTTGAATGTCATGGATATGAATAAGGCTCTAGGGTCTCTCGGTCTGGAGTACTTTGTGGTGCAGCACTCACATTATGGTGGTGGTGGGGGTGCGAGTGCTCGCAGTCGTGGGTGCTGTGGGGCAGGGTGCCATCGTGGCTGTGTGGGTGGCCGTGTGGATGGCCGGGTGAGAACAGACTGCCGGAGCCGTTGAGCAACGCCAAGCCGTTGGGGAGTTTGTGGTGGAGGTGATGGCACCCTTGGGGTAACATGGGACCACTGTGCCCATAGCCACCGTGGACGCCCCCATTGATACGGCTGGAGCCAGGAAGAGTGGTGTACTCGAGGACATGGCCATTCATCTCTGCTCGCTGGTACAGGTAGTCGGGAGGGTCATACTCTACAGAAGAGAGAGAGAGACAGAGAGAGAGGAGGTGATGGAGAGGCAGAACAGTTAGGATAGGGGCAGAGACCAGTATGACAAAAATAATTAATCACAACAAGATAATTATATAATAATCTGTTAATAATTGTTACATACAGAAACACGGAATTAAGAGGCAAATATTGCTGACAGTGGTCCTATGAAAGAGTTGTTTACTTTTCTTGTTTTGTTGCACACACTTTTTAAATATTTTGGATGGTAAATAAATGTTCCGGTAGTTCACTGCGTTCTCACACAGAAAGTGAGCACCTGTGATTCAATCTGGGCTTTTCTCCAAAATCTATAAGCTACAAAACTCAAACTGTTTACAGACCCAAGCGGTCTGTTAAAGAATCCATCCAACAACGGCAAACACTTTTGCAAGCAATCTGGGATCCATATATGTACTATGAACACTTGGAATATGCTGCACACGCTGTCCTGGAGCCAACCATCTTTAAATATGAGACATGGAGTTAACCCTTTGTATGGGCACTAGTGCAGCAAAAGTCATTTTAGCTACAGTAAAACTTTGAGTGAACAAAACACACTATATGATGGATGATTTTGGAACACATCCAAAATCCCACACTGTGAGCAAGAACCATACTTCTTTTATGCAAACTTTGTCTGTACTCACTGAGCATGTTGTTCTGCTGACGATTCCTCCACAGACACATGGCAATGAAAGCCAGCAGGATGAGCACCATCACTCCCAAAACGCAGCCCACAATCAGGTACAGGAGACCTCCAGGTGGGCTGGGAGGCTCCTGCGGGTGAGGGTAAGGTGGGGTGATGGGGTGCTGGCTGGGCGACCCCGGGGACCGACGTGCTGCAGCAGAGAGGGAGGATGGGTCATGAGGAACAGCTTTTTTTACCCGATGGCAACCGAGCAAAATAACAGGACCTAACTATAGAATGCAAACCATTGTTGTTGCTCTCGTAAAACTCAGTACATTTATGTTGTGTAATTATGCCCCTTGTACCCGTCATTAAAGTTACAGCCTTCACAGGAACATGCCTGGACTTCTGATTAAGTGGAGGTTTGGTTGACGCACGAGCCCTTATTTGTGCAGTACAGCTTGTGTTTACTTACCTTTGGTCTCACAGATCATGACGTTGCTGTATTCGCTCTCTCCCCCATCATTAAAGCACTGCATCTTGATATCGTAGGAGGTCTCTGGCTGGAGATGTCCAATCATGTGCCAGTGTTTTACACCTGAGAAGGCAGAAGAGAGGGAGATGAAAAAAAAAATGAGTTGGACAAAGGTGAGAAATCACTTCCTCCATGAGCCAGCAGTGACTCGCATTGCTCCAAATCCCTCCTTCTCTTCATGTCTCACACCTCAGGTCATGTTCTTTCATGCTCGCTCTGTCATTCACACCCTTCTCTCTCTTTGCTTCAGCCCCTGTCAGTCCCACCAGGGCCCAGACAGTTGCTTTACTCTAGATGAGCTCCATATATGGCAGCGTCATGTTTGTCCTGGCTTGGCTCCAGTATTCCCACTCCCCACTCCCCCCCCCACACACACACACACACACACACACACACACACACACACACACACACACACACAATCAGACTATTACATGCATGCTTTGGAATCACAGATGAGACGCCAATCACAAACATGGAAATGCTACATTTCAAACAAATGAGGCAGAAATAAGGTGCTGTTTTTGCTGTGTTTGGTTTAATATGAAGTATAATAAATCACTGCACCTCAGCTTACTCCGCCCCAAGGTAGATTTTAACTGTCGCAAGTTGGGAACAATATAAAAAGTAAGCTGCTGCGGAAGCTAAATCCACTTTGTGCTGTAAATCAGACTCAATACAGACGTTTAATACACAAATAAACACCAGTTTCTGCTCAGTAACAGATTTTACGTAATCATTTTTAAACAGGACACAAGAAAGATTATCTGATAGGAAAGTGACTACTGCAGGCATTTAAAGCAAGGTACTGAACCTCTGCACCTTTTGAGGGCCGAGTGAAATGTGACAGAAGTACTGAGAATTAAACTGCTGGGTACGGGTCAGATACAAGTTGGCATTGAGTGGTTTGTCAGATTATTAGTTTTGGCAAAGTTCTTGAACAAAAAAGGTAGTTATGTAGGTAAATATGTTTTTATTCCTCAAAGTATGCAAGTACTGAAAGTATCATATCAAAAGATGATACTACTGATACTACTAAAAAAATTAACACAGAATTAGTGATTTGCAGGTAAAAACACATCTGGACATGAAAAAAACAAAAAACAACCCTGATGAAAAGAAATGGTGCGGTGTATGCTTTGTGTCTACCACAGTGTCTTTTTTTTGATGCTGGAGGTGTTAACAAAGTTAAATGATAGGTGCAGGTAAGGAGCACGGAGGTGCAGAAGGGCTCACTTTAAGAGAAGCCTGATCCCAGCAGCTATAGCTGCCCTAAACAGCAGGCCCCGCTGAATGGACCCGAGTGTGTACTGTTGTCTGTCGTGTGCCGTCGTTATTGTGCTGTTCTATGTATTGCTGTCTGACATGTACAGTGCTGTGGAGACGAGTTTCCCCTTGGAGACAGTAAAATCTACAATCTAAATGTTAAATCTTACAAAGTGGCTTTGACAGTGTGGCTTGTTGAAAAGTTTGTAGATGTCATTAGATGTACACATCTAAATAATTTGATATAATGTGGAAGCGGTCATAACTACACATGAAAATACACTGAAGTCCTGTGGTAAACGGTAGTGGTGTAACGGACCACTGTTGATCCGTGATCCGTACGGATATCCCCTCGCGGTTCAGCACGCATGTGAACCGCTGATTACACAGTTTAACGTTAACCATCGCAGTGTGAAGTAAAGTTTTACTGCGATCGTCATCCACCAAGATTCAGTTTTTACGAAGAACAAAAACACCATAGATGACTATAGCAAAGTAAAAGGATAGGAAGTGGGCGGAGTGAAAGGATGTCCCTCCTTCCTTTTCTGTACCAGGCTCCACTGTTAGCACTCCACCCAGCAACCTGAGGCCCTCTTCTGTGGCCGGGCTCATATTTCAGCTCTGGCAACCATTTATTAAAAACAGATTTTAGAAAGCCCTGCTGCCCAGGGATAGCACCCTCTATGAATCAAACAGCAGAAATGCCCCTCTTCACTACACCCCGCTCTTGACAGTGAGTATCCATTACCCTCCCAACTCCCAGTTTATCTGCAGAGTGTGAGCTCAACATCCGGGACAGGACAGGGCTGTCGACAAACAATCTACACCAGCTACACACTCAAATCTGCAGTCGAAAAGCAGACACGCAAACATTAAAATGCGCATTTCCACTCACCTTCCACCATATCTCTTTTGTAGTCGCTGTCATTGTCACTGTCCGTGGGCCGGTAGTAAATGTAGAAGCCTTGGATTGGAGTGTTGTTGTTACTCGAGGGGCTATACTGGATGGGGATGGAAAAAAAAAAGATTACGTTAGACTACAGCAATCTGGTGAGCAATTATTATACAAAGAGAGGAAATTTTCCGGCAACTAATGGCGGGGCTTGTTATCAGCAGATGTACAGGACTGCAAGCAAGATTGTGATTGCACTTTCTGCCTAAAGTTCAGGAAATAATGAGACTGTCTGAGTTTAAGTAAATGTGGGGAAATATCTGCAGCCCGAACTGCGGTGAGGAGGAGAAACAGATTTTTAGAGAGCGGAATCACAGCGTAGACGGACGGGGCCTCTTAATCTCTGTTAGAGCAGAGCTCTAATCAGCACAGCCGCTCGATTAAAGGTCTGATTGAGAACCACCAGCAGCTCAAACACAGGTGAGCCAGCTGGAAAAGACACTAAAGGACATTAATAAGGTTTTAAATAAAACAACAGCTTATACAAATCTGCTCTTTACCAACAACCACTTTACTGCATCCAAAACTACTACAAGTATGGTTATTCCAAGTTGAACCATGACAAGTTTGACTGCTTTATCTCCTCCAAACAAGTTTGTATCAAATCTGTTCTGCTCGTGTTTCTTGTCCCGTCTCACTCCTTTTTAGCATTTTCCCCCCCCGGATATCAGAAATGAACTTGGCGAGTAAGATTTAATGTACATATCACTGATAGGAATTATGACCCAGAACTACAACTTCTTGCACCAGTCCTATGGATGTTGTATGTCAGTGGTGTACTCACAGTCCAGCGCAGCATGATCTGTGTGTCACTGATGGCGTCTGTGGATGAGATGTGAGGTCCGACCACAGGACGGTCTGCGATACGCGGGCTCGCTTGTGGCACCTGGTACGGCTTCGAGGGAATGCTGTGAGGACTCTCGCCGTACATGTTCATGGCTACGACGCGAAACTTGTAGGAGGAACCTGAGAGAGAAAAACAATGATAGGGGCAATGTCACAGTGCAGTGGTGCTGAGCGATGACTTTTCATCCTGTGGCATCGATCAATAAATTATATCCAGCCATGTTGAGACACAATTCTGCTGTCTTTGTTGATTAATTTTAGCCTCATCACTTAAGTTTAGAGGCGCTGAATCTTTTCTCATGGTAGAAAGGTATTTTTATTAAACACCCCGTCTATTGTATTACATTATAGCTTTATTTCATATGTTCTGTACTTTTAACACAGTCATAGCCAGGCTGCAAAAACAATATTATCGTTTATTATATTATCAAAAACAATGATTGCATGCTTAATAGTTGGGCCTATATAGTGCAGTTCGGACCAGACAACGTATAACTGCATAGTATCTTAACTACTTAAAATATAAATGACTAAAACTTTTTTTAAATAATTTTGGCAAATAAAAGCTTGACAGCTTGGCAACCATTTTTGAAAGTAAAGTGCTGAGCCTTGCATATAGCAGCACATGATGATTTTAGATCAAGAAACCTTTATCTGGGCAGAGGAATCATGTCATGCTTCAGTGGACTGTAGAGAAACTTTTGGAACCATGTGAAAGCTCACCAGGCTCCAGATTGCGAACTTCTACAGACAGCTTGAGAGGTGAGATGTTATCCGCAGCCACAACCCACTCTGCGCTGCGGCCGCGTCTGTACTCCACACGGAAAGCTGTGACCGGAGACCCGCCATTGGCTCTCGGGATCCAGGTGACATACACCGAACTTTCAGTGGCCATGGAGATGGTGGGGCGGTCGGGGGCCTCGGGTACTGGGAGAGAAACAAATAAGGAATAACCCTTTGAGTCGTGCAAACTTCTGTGAATCCAATGAAAAACACACAGAGAGAACTGGCAGGCGTCATGACTGCATCCCAACTCATGTGAGGATGGAACAAGTTCACAGAGAAAGAAAAAAAAAAAAAAAAGACGGCATGACGTGGAGGAATGTGTACTTACTGCCTGGGCTCTTAGCCACAAAGTTAGAGAGGGCAGGAAAGAGTAAGAGAGAGAGAGAGAAAGAGAAAGAGAGAGAGAGAGAGGAGGGTTAGTGAAAAGACCAATCTGAGGTATTGCTTGTAATGCCAGTAAACATGCACATGAACACAGATCTGACCAAAAAGCCGTGTGCAATCTCACAGCTTTCTGCTTACAGCATCTTTCATTCAAAGAGTCATTACAGGGTGTCAACTATCGTGTCACTGTTTGTACTCCAAGGCACAAAGAAACAAAGCAGACCACATCTGAACATTAAACCCTGAGGTCTCTTCAACACGGTCCGGTCATGAACTCCACAATAACCTACACGTCAGAAAGGCCCGTAACTTCCTCAGAAACATCCCACGATCATTGTCTAAACAGGACTTCGCAGACCTACCTCTGTCGTGTATGACGACACCAAAGTGTGTGTTGGTGGTTTTGTCCTCTGGAGCTTTAGGGGGCATCGAGATGATGGGAGGCTTGGACGGATTCTTGTTGGAGGTGGTGGTCTTCTCTGAGAGAGGAGGAAGAAAAGCAGGTAAGAAAAACAAGGCCCAACAAGTTTTCAGGGCTATCAGTTCCACCAAAAGCACGTGGAGCTGAACTTTCCTCCTGGTTTCCGGAGCTGTTTTTTTTTTTTTTTTTTTTTAAATCAGGGTGGGTTTCAGGTTTCCACTTGACAACACTGCAGTTATGCTTAGCTGTGTTGTGGCTCGGACAAGTGTGCGATGTGAATGCGTATTCAGTTCAATACCTTTCAGGAACAGAAGCATTGTGCTAATTGCAATTAATTAATTTTAAAGTAAAGAACAATAATTTTGTAGTTTATACATTTCTAAACATGGCCGTAGCGATCACTGACAATACCAAGATCATGTCCTCATTATTGCTTTTGGATATTTGAGGTTTAATTTTTATATATTTAAGGTTTTCATATTTATACATGTGTATTTGAGGTTTTTAGTTTCATACATTTGGTGGCATTTAAAGGCTGATTTGGAATTTTTTGATTTTTGATTTGACTGTAGGCAAACATATAAAAACATCATATTTAGATTCATTATTGCACAGAAAATACAGTTGAATGAATAAATGCCATTTAGACCAAAAGAAATGACCTCATTGAGGATACGTCGGATGTTTCTTAGCGAGGTGGCGTTGTTCTGGTGCGTTCTGGATCTGGACACAAGAGTCTGGTTTTGGACTGGTTGGTATTTTCTTGGTCCAAGACCATTTTGTAAAGGAACCAGCCTTAGGATGCAATCATATCTGTGGTTTCTGGCAGTAGTTTACATATTTCTGACCAGGGGACATTTTGTCAACCCTGCTGTGGTACAGCATTATTATTTTTGGAACATTTGCGGTTGTTCTTGTTTCTATTTGTCTCAAAAACACAACAAACTTTCTTGAAGTCATTCATTATGATTATGATACTGATCATTATGATTGTACTGAGGATTACGATTGGACAAGGTGGTGAAGGTAGTAATTTAAAGGAATAATCCACCCTCAGATACTGTATATGGTTGTGTATAATACATTTTAAATCATCCAGCAGTCATTTAGTAACAAAGTGTCATCATCTTATATTTTGGTGTATTCACTTATCCTCAACCTGTCTCATCTGCTTCTACTTCAGTTATTAACATTCCTCAGTCCACAGAAACTCTAAACCATTTTCATTTTGCCAGGTGCTCGAGCCAAAAGTTAGCTTTGCTGAAAATACTTTATTGTGCTTTCTCTTCAGAGATTGTATGGTTTTCTCTGAAGGTAGAAACACAAATATCACCCCAAAAGCTATACTATATTCCCTTACACCCCTAACTCGAATAGGCAGTGTGCTCTGCATATTGTTTTTTTATTCTGATGAGACTGCTATCGCTCAAGACTGAAATGCATGTTTCTGCTTCACCTCTATTAAATTTCATCCTGAATGTCTGTTTAATATCTGTACAAAATCTGGAGGTCAGACACAACCAGATGCTCTTAAACTCAGAAGAGATGACACCAAAACCTGACATTTACTGTTGATGTTTTAGGCAGCTGAAAGTTTTCCTCTTTCTATCGTAGCTGTGTTGTAAAAGTGGTGAAGTCGAGTCCAGTGGTCAGTTATTCCCATGAATACCACAAGAAACACTTAACAGCCTAACACACACTGGCATTGAAGTTACATTGCTATTAACAGTTGTTTCAAACAGTGTTTGAGTATTTATTTTTTTGTTGAGAGCCCGTGGTTAGACTGACCCTTGCCGGTGCGGAAGGTGAGCATGGCTGGCTGGCCCTCGCCTGATGAACTTCGAGCAACCATCAGCACCTCGTAGAGACTGGAGGCCTCTAGCTCTGACAGCCGCAGGGTCTTCTCACTGCCAGGGACACGAACTGTATGCCAACTCCCCACCACTGTTCCCATTTCATCGACCTGACGCACACACAGATACGGACAGAAGGCCACACACACACACACACACACACACACACACACACACACACACACACGACTAAAAATCACAGAGGGAAAAACAAAATCATCTGCAGGTCTACAGTCTTCTCTTTCCGAGCCTAAATAACGACAGGGAACGGCTTCAGAAGCAATCCCTGGGAGAATTATGTCACAATTTCCTACTTCAGCAGAACTGATTCCTGCTGCCAACAAAGTCTTAACTTGTATCGCTGCAGTTTTATAGTCAGCAGTGAGCTTTTCACTGAAGAAAACAAGATTTTAAACAGGAAATAAGCAACCTTTCAGTCAGTTGAGGTCTTGGCCCTACCCTCTTTATTTAATATACATTACATTCGACCATTCTCAGTTGGTTTAGGCAAACCACTTCAGAAAAAGGTTGAATGTTTGTGGTAAAAGTAAAATCAGTTTTTAAGACAATAGCAAGAAAGAAGTGAAACATGGCAGCGTGTCTTTTTCCGCTCACCTTACGGTATTTGACAAAATAGGCGTTGATTTTACTCCCTCGATCCCGCCCTGCCCTCCACTCCAGGTCGTACATGTCGGGCTTGTGAGTCTGAGGCGGACTGATGATGATCGGCGCCTCTGGAGTAGGACGGCCGCTATTCCTGTCAGCCGGCAGGTTAATCGTGTCGCCTTCTTCTTCGGTAAGGAAGCGCTCCTGGCCCTCGTCGCTCTGCATGGGGTGGAGCGACGGTGAAGCCTCCAGCGGCACACCAGCAGTGGAGCCCAGCTGTGGATCTGTCAGGGAGAGAAATCAAGGATTATTAAAATATAACAGGAGTTTGGTCTGATACACAAAACTTTTAACAAAGCTGGAATAAAAACTGTGACATAGGTCCTTGTTTAGTCCTCCTTGAATGGAAATGGAGTGCAAAAAAAAGGTTTCACCAGGTTGTAAGACTTGTTTTGTCACTTATTATTTATGTTTCTTGACTGTTCCAGTACTTGCTTTTATCTTTTATTACTAGGTTTATTGTTATGCACTAGAACAAGGCAGATTCCTTGTATGAGAAAACCTATTTGGCAACAAATCTGATTCTGATTTCTTATCAATTTTTCAGCTCTAAAATGAAATATATTGTGCTATAATATATTCACCTTCATGGTGAGAAAGCAGCATGTAATGAAAACTGAAGCACGGCAACAAGGTTACTCAGTCAGTGACTAACGCAGGTGGCCCTACATGTCCACAGAGGACAACCAGTGCAGGAAAGTTTTGCGTTTGGAACAAGTCGTTTAATCTACATAAAATAACAAGAAACACCTGGAATCTCTGCAGCACTACATAATCATGCGTTGTTTGTTTTCTTCATTAAATCTTCGCCAGAGTGGTCCACCTGGGCGAATCATGCAAGCTGGGAGCCTTATTATGGCTGACACCGGTTTGGCAGAGCCCAGGTGGAATTTTTCACAGGCATTTGCAGGACACTGACCACAACCAACAAGAACACTCTGAGCCACACCACTGAGGTCAAAGAGCACCATAGTTGCCTTAGCAAGTGAGAAAGGAGGTTAAAGCAGCGAGGTTTGCCACAAGGGCACAATGTAGGGTCCAGTTTTGGGCTGTTTTGTGTGAGGCACAGTTCTCTTTGTAAAACAAACAGGCCCGGAGGTAACAGTAGACCTGATCCTGGGACTGTGGCCAGCTGCCACACATTCCACACGCCAACCATTAAAATACCGGAGAGAATCAGACCCCAGCACTACAGCCAGTCCAATGCACTCTCCTGCTCGTTCCCTCCCTCTGCCCTTGCCACAACTCTGACTCATAGCTTAGCCACAGCCGGGGCTCCTCCTCCAAAACACTGATACAGGAGGAGGCAATTAAGGCCACGGCGTCCTCACCATTCTCATGGAAGGGAGTGATATCTTGAGTGAGTGCTGCTGCACCTGGAGAGAGATACACTGCCAGGTCCTTCCCGGATAAACGTCGGTCCATTAGAGATGAACACCTGGAGAAAATGTGATAGTAAATCACGGAGGATTACCAGCAGAGACGAGAGCCTCAGTTTGGACAGAGCTCGGCTGGATGGAGGAAGAGTGAATGTACTTTTTGTATATTTCTAACTGACTGCCTGGACCTCATGATGTGGTGAGGAGGTGGTAGGTGTGATTAGGGCTGCAACTAATGATTATTTTCATTGACAATTTATGGTTGATAATTTGGGTTAGAAAATGTCACAAAATTGTTTTGTTTTTTTAAAAGTCTTCAAAATTGCATATTTCGCCAGACCAGCAGTCCAAAACCCCAAAATATTCAATGAGAAACAATATGTATAACGATGTGTAAAAAAATAAAAAATGTGGTCATTCAAAACATATTAATGGATGATCAAAATTGTGCTTAATACATTTTCTATCAATCAAGTGATCAAATAGTCATTTCAGGCCTTTTTGAGGCTGTAGATGGGCTGCTGGCTTTGACATGTGGGAGCAGGGAGGAAACAGCCAATCGCATGAAAGAACAAGGACGCCACATCTCCCCTGTGGTGCATCCCACTTAACGGATGAAAGCGGGGGGTCGTCATGGTGATGGAAGCAACAACGCCAAACAGAAAACCCAATATATTTCGGATTGCTCTCTGTGATGAGATACTAACAATAACACACTACCCACACCAATGATATTGTTTACTTTGAATGCAAAGGGCATTAGATAAGCACCTGGTACCTAAAAAGCAAACTGAACTCGGAGGAGGCAGTGTACGCCTCTGCTGGGCGTACGCGACTTATCAGTTTTATATTTTGTGTACATCTGCAGCACAAGATATTAACTCTCATTCTTCTTCCCGTAGTCTGTACATGGGGAGCAAATGTTTTGCAGTCAATCCAGAACGGGGGCGTAGAGCGAGCGGCTGGGGAGCGAGAAGAGGGGAGGCTTGGGAGAGAGCGGTGGTGGTGGTGGTGGAGGAGGAGGAGGGGGGGAGTGTTGTGATGTGTTAATAAATAAAAGGCAGTTGTGTATGATGTTGACAGCTGGGTGGTCTGGTCCTCGTCATAACCCTCCACGGCTACTCCTTACATTCCAGTGTCCGGGGGCTTATCCCCGACGGCGTGCACAAAGCTCACTCTCACGCTCAAGCACAGTTCAAGGCTCAGGAGGAGGGCGGCCTTGGCTAAGCCTCTCCTACCAGCCCTCAGAGACACACACACATTCACACTCAAAGAGCAAGGACTCCCTGCAGATACTGTATGTGCAGGCACAAAGAGATCCCGCCTGGTGTGATGCTTTAACCCTTTCCAAACTATTTTTTGAAACAATTTTACAATTAATTGCCGATTCTCAAAAGGCTCTCTTTTGTATCTGTAAACTCTCTGAGCTCAGCAAGGCCTCCAGTGTCAGTGTACAAACTCACGTTGTTGAGTTAGTCATGATCTTACCGTACAGTGGCAATGAGGAACTGGATCAAGTTTAGGGTAATGTTGGGAACGGTAGGGTTGAATGACTTTTTGATCATGGTTAAACTAATTTATCAATTAAAAAAAGCCAAACATTCTCTGCTCCCTTAAATGTGAGGCTTTGTTTGGATTTTCTGTGTTTTAAATCATTGTAATTTGCATATCTTTTGGTTTTTGTTAGATGAAACAGGCAATTAGAAGATGTCCTCTTTGGCTTTGCACATGTGAGAGGCTTCCTTCACTATTTTCTATCAACTGATTAATCTTTGATGAATGACATTTTTGACAGATTATTCAACAGTGGGTTTGAGGCATTCAGCAGGTTAAAAGATGTATTCATCACTAATAAAGCTGAGTTGAGATAGCTCCAAATTAAAGCCAAGTACCAGATTAGTTTAAGACGACTGATCCATACCTGATTGCTTCGTAAGTATTCCAGATGACTGTGCCGAGCCAATCCCATTGTCCAGCAGACACTGAAACAAGCCCTCATCCTGTGATGTCACGTCTGTAATAACAAGTGAGGATCCAGAGACCTGGAAGCGGCGCGATGGGGTGATGGGGTTGGCGTTGAACAGCCAGGTGATGTTTGGGGAAGGGTTTCCTGTCGCTACGCAGGTAAAACGAGTGGAGGAGCCATGAGAGACGAGCTGGTTGGTCAGGCCCTCTGCGATCGACATGGGCTCTGTGGAGGAGAGGAAGATTAACATCACCATGGGGTCTGCTGCAAACATCCCCACACCGCCAAACCCCTTTCTTGCGTTTTTCTTACCAAGAACATTTACAGTATAGTTAGCGCTGGTCACCGTCCCCTGCTTGGTCTCAGCAGCACAGGCGTAACTCCCTTCATCACTCCTCGTCACCGCAACAAAGGCCAGGTTGTTGTGCTGTCGGTGAGAAGGCCCCGGTGTGACCTCCTTACCGTTTTTCAACCATTTAGCTGCTGGCGCAGGACTACCAGACACGATGCACTCCAACGTCAGCGGCTGTGATTGCTGCACCGAAACAGTCCTTGGGGCGGTGGGGTAGACTATCCTCACTGAGGGGAAAGAGTCCGAATCTAAACAAACAAATGAACCACGTAAGCAGACGATAAGAGAACACACAGCTGAGATAGGAGAACTTCTGAATCTTAAATATATGTGATTAGCCTTACGTTTCACTGAGAGCTTGGTACCGTGAGACTGCATGACGGTTTCCCCAGTAAGAGGGTTGAATGCACCACATTTGTACATGCCCTGGTGCTGGTCTGAAACAGAGATAATCTGGAGGTTTCCAGATGGAAGCACTAAATAGTCATCTAAAAAGAGAAGGACACAACAGCATAAGTGATGGCACAGAGAACTTCCACAATATCAAGGTAAAGTGTGAGCACTTCATCATGAGCAGGTGAACAATTTCTTCAATCATTCAATCATAGTACATGGTGACATTTATGGTGATATTAATAGTAAAGTAGTACATTTTCTAGAAATTCAATAGAGAAATCATTCATAGGTAAACAAATAACGTCTTTTTTTCTAAATTCTATGGAAAAAACCCCAGATAAATCATAAAACATCATTACATGGATGCAAGAATAATCCTGCTATTTGGTTTTCAACATTTCTAATACAACCAGAAATGACAAACCTGTTGACACGTCTATCCGCTCCCCTCGTACTCTTAGTCTAGGAAGGGCTGGAGGGACGCTGTGCGGTAGAGGACACTCTATAAGAACAGAGCTGCCTTCCTGCACTGACAACGACCGCCGTCGGCCATCTTCATATTCTGATATTTCTGCAGTGACAGAAAAGAAGTTAAACTCAATTTCTGTGCAGAACATTGGACATTTAACATGAGCCGACTATCAGCGAAGTCAAGCACAAAGGCAACCAGCGCTACTTGAGCTGAGCTGTTTGTGTTGGATCACTTGCTTTGTTTATTGTTGCAGTCAGCGATTCTATTCATGTCTGATACAGTTCCAAATCAGGGTCAACCCCTTAGTGTAGTGTCCAACAGCAAGCGGCATCCCAGCGGGAACATAACACACTACACAGGAAAGCCCAAGGCTCATTAAGGATACCGGTCAAGAGGCATTTGGAAGGGTGCCCGAGTAAAAACTCCTTCAGCTTCCTTCCCCTCCGCCACTCAGCAGCAGGCAGCCGAGGAAAGGCATTCTTTATAAGTGTTCAACACTCACAAAATGGCCTTCCTTTTTCTCAAGGCAACTTCCTCTTTTTTTCTTCCCCTCTGCTTTGAAGTGAGTAGAAGTATGCACAGAAGGGTAATTCTCTGTATCCGTACCTGCTATTGCCACACGCGCGTGGCGGCTTGCGATAGCCGGCCCATTGGCTAAGCGTGCCACACACTGATAGACGCCCACGTGGCTGGGCTTAAGGGAGGGGATGGTGAGGGAGCCCTCGTGGATCTCCACGGCAGGCAGGGTGTCCTGGTCCAGGGGACGGCCTCTGAAGCGCCAGGAAACCGCCGCAGACGGAGGACTCACCAAGCAGAGCAGACGAGCAACAGAGCCTTGACCCTGAACCAAGGAGGCAGGCTCAGAGCGGAAAGAGGGATATTGAGCTGGTGAGGAGACAAAACCTTCAGTCAGTCATTTTGCTATAGGTGCTTGGTTACCCTAAATTAACATATGCAGATATTTTTTTCCCACCAAAAACAATACGATGAAGGTGCAAGTATCTGCATGACGTTGGGGCTAAGTGAGAAATATATTGAAGCCATGGAGTATTTTGTAGATAGCTTTTACAAAAAATAATCGAGAGAGAACTGACTCTTATTGTTGTGTTGCTTTTGTCATAACTCTAAAATATCTATTATCAGTGAAAACCATGTGGCTAAAGCTGACGTCTTCATCCTTTTTAGTGATTAAGTTTGACTTTCAGGAGGCGCCTGCTCTTGTTTTGCCTGCTGTGATGGTTATCGTGCTATCTGCTGCTTCTTTAGCATTCTGGTGTACGACAGTATAGACCCAACACCAAAGGCCAGATGTATAAATGCACAAAAAAACAAGCGTACGCCCTTTCCCCACACATGAACTGGTATTTATAAAGGAAGGATGTGGAGTGAGAATGTGCTCACTTCAGGCAAACTTCAGACCAGGCGTGTACATGGTTTAAGCCGTGATAGCTGCGGGTGAAATGAAGGAGGACATTGAAGTTGAGAGACGGGTAACATTGTTTTAAGGTTGTGTGACAGTTTCAATGATTCCGCTTTACATTTCCAGGTGCATTCATAAACTTAACTTTTAATTATTTATGATGAACCCCTGCAAATGATCTTTTCATTTGATCCTGAATTGTGAAGCACTTTGTAAAGTCTTACAACATCAACAGCGAAATATCCTTCTGATGTTTAACAATGACGATGATTGAGAGTTTCCTGCATTGATGGTCTGCATACACGCGATGAATTTGTGGTATGCACGATACAAACAGCCACAGCGGTGCAGAACGACAGCTATTGGAGAACCTCACTGATGCATCACAGTGAAGTTGAAGGTCTTTGCTGTATTTTTTCATTGACAGGCCTTGTGAATAGGCACAAGTAGGGCTGGGGGATAATTCAATGTGATCATTTATCGTCTTTCAATGGAATCATGTTGTGAGAAAATCATATATCGAGATATCGTGATACACAATTACACCATCTAAATTGATAATAATTGTTAATAAGAATTAATAAGAAGCATTTTAAGGGAATGATTTGAAGATCATGTTTTGTTTTTACATCACAATTAACATTATCACTCAGTTCAATGGGACTTACAAACGGTGTGTATATGGAGAGATTTCTTTTCTTCTCTAATTTCACTTGAAACTTATGATCTTTCATTTTGCAATTAACTTCTTAATTAAATGAGAAAATACTCTTGATTACTTTTAAAATACTTTTCATTTGTCAAGTACTTCACACAGGGGTTAAGAACAATAGGCTTTACTATGCGATTATTTTATATAGACTATTTATTGAATTACCAGAAAACATGCTGTATTGGGATAAATATCGTTATCGAGATATGAAATTACCTATATTGTGATAGAAGATTTAGGCCATGTCGCCCAGCTCTAGGCACAATACATATACAGGGTATTTCTACAGGCATTTGTACTGTGTGGAAACAAGGCTTGTTTACGTGCGTTATAAAAGAGAATCAGGCATACATGTGGCTTCATAAATCTGGCATAAACTTTGTGTGACTCTACAAAGAGTTTTTGCATGTAACCAGATATGTTTTGAAACAAAAAGAGGATCAAAATGACCACTTTAAAGCTGCAATAATTGAATTTTTGGCCACATGGGAGCAGGAAACTTAAAAAACACAACCCTAACACTTCCAGCAGACAGTCATGTTTATGACCACTTGATGAATGCAAGTCCAATATTTACCCTCCTTTCTGCTGAAAACAACTGCCTTGTTGCTGCTAAAAACGGATGAAAACATGCATGAAAGCTGCTAAGACATAAAGAGTGATCTTTATGCTGTCATCACTATGAGGGACACCTTACATTACACAACCATTTGCTCCATTGTTACTATAAACATAATGGTTTGTAGTATGAGCGAACCAGTTTTTTAAAGGGGATCACACCACATCCATCCACATTAAGCTGAAAGTAAGAACACCAACTTACATGAGCAGCCGATAAGCAGGGACTGGCTGAGACACAGCACAGTGGACAGGAGGACCCTTAGGCCACTGTCCATGGTGCACTTTGACCCCTGCCAGCAGCCGTGTTGCCCAACGCACACGCCCTCGTCTGTTCAGCAAACCTGCAACACACAGAAGAGAGGAGAAACACATCAAACCAGAGCTCTGCATGGAAACGTGACAGCATCAGCATGAACAAAAGAAGAGGTGAGACAGAAATAAACGACATAACAAGCTGGAGGAGGATTTCAGAGGTGGATCTGAGCGGGGGTGGGGGGGATCTATTAGGTTCCAAATGAATCCTGTACGACAATCCTTCTAATCTTCACGACACATCCTCTTTACACACTCCTTGATCTCCACAGAGGCTGGAATGTCCAGTCTCTTTGCCCCCTGCCTCTCTCTCCCACTGGGCCACTGAGATCTCCCGCTAATGGAGTGGCCGTGGAGAGACTGTCGCCTCACTCTTAATATCACTCTTGTCACACTGTGTTGCTTCCTCATAGGTTCACTGTAGCCTGAAGTGCAGGCCCAGACACACTGGAGGGCACGTAATTAGGAGCATTCCTCTATCCTTTTCAACCCGACCCCCTCCGACAGCGGCACCTCCTCCTCTTTTTTCTAAGAGTAATCCGGGCAAGCTTTGATCCCAGGTTCCTGGTTGGTTACCAGGGTTTGAGCCTGAGGCCGGAGGAACAATGGCTGTCCAGCTGTGATATTCACACTGGCGCGGTGGCTCGCAGACGTATAGCGGAAGGGCCGACCTGGGCTGAAGGGTTGGGTCAAATTAAAAGGATGATGTCTGGGGGGGGGGGGAAAATCGGTGAAGCTGAACAGGTCTCCAACCTTCATTCTGTAACATAAACATTGTTTCATCTGCTCGACGCTCAAGCAGGTCAATTTGTTTAGCCTCCTGTCAAGGCTGCAGTACGGCTCGGAAACACCAGTAGGTAACAGTTTTGAGTAGGGCTGCAATGAACGATTATTTTCAATCTCCATTAATCTGTTGATTCATTCTCTGTCAAGAAACGGATCAAATTGCCAATCTAGAACAAGCAAAGGTTCTGCTTGATAAACGGTGTGAACACTTATTCATCTATCATAAATATTGTCAATTGATTTTCTATAGATTGTCTGTTCCTCTATGATCTCACCAATGAGACACAGATGCTTTATCCATGTTCTCATCGTCACCCTCTTCATCTCTCTCTCTCTCTCTCTGAGAGGAGGAGGACGAGGAGAGAAGAGGCAGGAAATAATAAACTCTCCCAGCTCCTGGCTCACGCCCCCTTCTCACCCTGAGGTCAAAGGTCAGGGAGCAAAGAGAGAGGGTGGACCAGCGGGTGTCTGGTGGCCCTGGACCAGCCCCCAGAGGTCACCTCCAGCTCTTTCTGTTTTACACACATTACCAAACAGCCAAAACAAAACAGGTGGAAGAGTGCTAAAAAGAAACATTCAAAACTGGCAACAATCATGCCTTCTCAATAATTTCAGCCTGATTCTGACTGAACAACAATGAACAATCTGTAATTTTGGGTTTGGGATTGAAAACAACACATTTTATGTGCCATACTTTCTATATTTCAGGCTCCAGTTTGATATGTGCACGCTCATTCGAGCAGATCAAACCCACATCTTGCAGGGTAGCGTTTCTCCATCCCACGAGTTGCAACAGGCCCTGCACACTGCCCCCATGTCATCGGTGGAAACTATCTTTCTCCCTCTGCCGGAATAATGATATATAATTACAATAACAACGACAGCGCTATATAAAATGCACAGCCAAGCGCATGCACCTTGGCACAAGGTATGATGAGAAACCGGAGCTGACTCTGTAACTCCCTCTCTTTCACCCACCTCTCTATCTCTTCTTATTTTACCCAGTTACTTCATCCCAGTGGGCGTAGCAATTGGGCACCAAAGTCCTGACTGGGTGCCCTTGTGTAAACACACATACAGCTGCTTATCTGGCCCACCGATCTGGCTCAACGAGGAAACACAGGGGCATCATTCCTGCTTTTTATCAGTTTGGCTTTCCACTGACATCCGCCCTCATCAAGCTGCCTCAGTGGAGACAGACACCGTGAGGATATCTTGTGTCCCTCATCACAGAGTCGTCCCGAATCTGGCAGCACCTTATGCATGGAAAGGCAACTCCCGCTTCCTCATGAGCAGACGCCCAGAGAAAAGCTGGAGTGGCCCTTTGACAGACGGGAAGTCTCTGTCAAATGAAGTCTGATCGGTCTGAGAGTAGTCTCCTCTGGTCCTGTGTTGATCTGCGGCCAGCCCACTCCCTCACTGCTCCCCTTCTCAAAACCCCAGACTACAGTACTTAAATGAGAAGAAGAAAAAAAAAATGTGTGCACCCGCCAGATTTCCTCCTCCTATCCTAAATCTGATCTTTTCTTACCCTCCTGTTTTTGCACTTATATTGTAGATGCATGGCCATTCTCAAGGCGGGATCGAAAGCTATAAATTGAAGAGACATCCAGCATACAAAACAGACTCTGCTCTGTTGAAAGCTGATATACAGACACAGGGACAGTTCATGAAAAAAAACGAGGTTAGTGTCAGTGGGTTCAAGTGGAAAAGTTCCTATTTTTTTGGGGGTGTGGGGGTTGACCCATGTCTGTTTGGGAAAATGTTTGACTGACACCTGGCTTAAGTGTGTGAAAGCAAGAAAAAACAGCAGCAGCTTCTGTCCCTCGTTTAGTCGTTGTAACCTAGCTTTCTATATTTTTTTGTGGTTTAGCCTTCATGCTCCCTTACACAGAAATTCATAGTAGAGATGTACTGTTGAGAGGCAGGACCTTTACTTATCCATCTTGGGGGAAATACTAAACTCAGATGCCATATATCGCATGGTAGGACAAGAGGGATCCCTGGTGATGACACTGGAGAATATAAACGCACTGACAGGTTGCCCTCGGGGAAGGGAAAGGGGTTTAAGTTTGGGGGGGGGGTTAGCACCTGCACTTCTTTCTGGCCTCCGCTCTGCAGGAACTACTTAAAGCCCCATCTGCCCGCATGTGGTGCTAGCCCATATCGCTGTCATATTGGGTAAACAGGGACAAAAGCAACGCGGCGGAGCATCAAAGACCTGGAGGGAAGAACAGGTTACAACTGGCGCTGCTGACTGAGGTAGGGGCCCGGCCTCTCCGCTTCACAAGACTGCACAGCTGAATAAAAGTCAACGGCACACACCATCAAGCAGCTCCGATGCTGATTGGCTAACAGGGGGCAATCCTGGCTGCTCCAGCGAGAGTGCTTTATATACATCTCCAATAAATCAGAAAGGTTTATCTTCAAAAACAAGAGAATTGTAACGAACTGAACGAAGAGTTAGAAATGAAGACGTTCAGGGTGAGGGAGTAGCGCGGTGTCTGGGAAAGACCAAGTCTTTTCTGGTATGATGGTCTAATCTGACCTGTGCACTGAAGCTGATTCACATGCTATACCCCAAACCTGTCTGCACTCGCCCCACATCTCACGGACAGAAGATCTGCAGCACACACATTCCTCAGCTCCACAGAGAGAGAAAGAGTGAGAGGGAGACGGACACACGGAAAGAGACAGAGAAAGACACACACACACACACACTCACAGAGAAGGGAGATACATTCAAAACAAGAAGATGAGAGGCAAAACGGGGGGAAACATACAAGAGAAAATAGACAGAACAGCTCTCTGAGAAGAGGGTAAAGGAGACGGGGGTAAAAAGAGGTGAAACATTCTCTGGGAGGTGAAAAGTTGCCAAGCCCCGACTCATTTCTCCTCTCTCTTTATTTGGCTCAGAGATAGACGTACAGATAATGGCTGCGCTCGCATCCACGTCTGCCAAAACTGATTGAGGATTCAGCCTAACTACATTCAGCTCGGCCCAAAAACTCGGGAAGAGTCTCCCGAGAGAAGAGACACTAGGGGACCGTTATGGGCTTCTTCTGTTGGTCTGGAGGAGCCCACTGAGGCAGCCCGGGGCCACAGAGGAAACTAATGAGTGGAAACACTGGGCCTCTGGTATGGCCTAACTCTGTCTGATTAAAGACTGAGACGTTATTAAAAGTGGGACAGACTAAGAGGAGAGTGAGCTAAAGACGACGAGAGAAAGAGAGACATGATTTGGAATCAAATAAGGGAATTAGGAGGGGAGAGAAGAGTGTTCTTGCTGTTTAAGAATGAGAAAATGACATTCAAAGGGTTTAGACTGCCATTGTCTGATCCTGACATCCTGCAGAAAGTTTATGCAAGTCTCCTCAATAAGTCCTCTAAACGGAGTGCGACTGCAGAAGACAAATGAGATACATCTTCAAGGACAGTGTGCTTGTCAGACACTGCTGTCTCGCTGTGCGTGTCTGCAGGAGGATAGAGTACCAGCGGTCCGGGAGGTGCAGGGTAACAGCAGGGCCAAGCGGGTCCCAGAACCTGAAGACGCCACATCCCTGACAACACGGCCGTGGTGTGGGATCAGAAGAGAGGAGGAATGAAAGGAGAGGCCCCCGGGGATCAGACAGTCAAATCCCACAATGCCCTGTTTACCAAGGACACATACCCACCCCTCCTCTTCACCACCCCCCCCAACATCTCCGTTCACCAAAGCCCGACCCTCCCAAAGTGCCAGGGCCGGGACCTGGGAGACAGCGCTAATTCTGCCCCGAGGCTTGTTGGCCGAGGACACAGAGGGCTGAGAGGGGAGAGAAAGGGAGGGAGGTAGAAAGACTGAGACAGAGGGGAGACAGAGTGGGGACTGAATGGTACAGTATGTAAGACCCATCTTAATTGGAGATTGTTCTGCGTTGCCTTGTTTTTCCTGGGAATCTGTGAGGGGGAGGGACAGGAGGGTGGGGAGGTACGGTTGTTTCCCAAGGTCCTGAACAGCAGGATTAACCACAGGGGCGAAACTCAATAGCGGCCTCGGACACTGGAAACAGATCCCCGGGTATCGCCACCATACAAGGCCACCTCGAGACCTTTTGCAAAGCGCATGTAACTAACAACCCTTCCCCATTGTCGGAGCTCTCTGGGCCCTTACGGCTGATTTCACAGGCCTTTCAGCCCACAGGGGAACGTCTGCTCAGACGAAAAGGTAATTCTGATGGAAAGGAGGAATGCACAAGAAGGCCGT